TAAAAATATAAAATTAATACTTATTATATTATACTAAAAATAATTATTAATAAACATAGCATTCAGTTCTGTGTATTTAGACCTATTGAGTCGATAGACCTGACCAATTATCAAAAAATTAACCATCATATATAACTCATACATCTATTCAATAAAATTATATCATTTATTTTACTATCAACTATATAATTTCAATTTAAATTATATTTATCTACTAATTGGATTTTATGAGTACTACTTGATATACAAATTAAAGACTCTTCTTGAAGAGAGATCATATCATATCCACCACACCAAATCTTTTTATTTTTATTTTTAATCATTTTTTTTGAGAAATTTTTCAAAAATTCATATTGATTACTGTATTTATTTTTTAAAATGATGAAGAATCGTGAAATTATGATGAAGAAAAATATAAATTTTTAACTTTTAAATAATGAAGCATACTTTTGAAGTGCATATATTAACTAATAAATTTAAAATTCCCTTATTTTATAGTTACTATTCCTTGTTGCGTGTACATTTGTGTTGCGTGTATATAATATTGCATCCGTCGGGTCCAAACAAGGAATTTGCATGTACCCTAACATTGAACAACTAGTTTTTAATTATCTTATCACCTAAAATAATTGCATGAACGGTTTCTCTGCAGTAACCAATCAAAATGGAGATTTATCCTAAATTACAAAGACGCAATGGATATGAATGAACAGGCAAGAGGATGTGTTTGGTAAGGAAGGACGTGGAGAAGAAGATGCCGTGCACTTGAATATGATATAATAATAATATTAGGTACGTTTGGTTCATTATTTTGAATATGATTTTGGGAATAATATTGGGTAGTTGGATAGGAGAGTATTACGAGATAAACTTTAAAAATTTATGAAAAAATCCTTTGGTTTGCTAATTTAATTAAAGACCCTAATATATAAAATAACAAAAATACCCCCACCACTTACAGTGCCAGATTCCAGTCACCACCGCTGGAATCTGGCCAGAAAATTTCGATCTGTATCATAACGCGTCGCTAAGGCCTTCCGACCAGATCCACCACGGATCTGGTCGGAAAAGGCTAGATCTACGGCCAAATGTTGCCGTCGACCACTGGCAAACGTCAAAAGAAGTTCATCTTTGGCTGTCAACGACGGCTATTTCTTTGGCTGTCGTTGATGGCCAGATCTATCCTTTTCCAGTCAGATCTGTGGTAGATCTGGCCGAAAAAGGCCAGATCGGTTAACTTTCGATCATTTCTTGTCGACAGGTAGGTCGTTATACAAATTCTGGCTATCACCGATAGTGGTTGTCGGAATCTGGCAAGTATTGATTGATGGGAGTGTTTTTGTTAATTTTTAAACTTTTTTTCTAGGGATATTTAATAAAATTAATAAGCTTAAAAGGTCTAAATATAATTAAAAATATAATAATATTTTTAAATAATGTGTCAAATAATATTTGAAGAATATGATTGAAAATACATATAAAAATAATGAACTGTTTGATCATTATTATTATATGGGCCAGAAAGAAATGGAATTCTATGTCGATGTCAACTGTTTAATTTCCACGTCTAGATGGGTATCCTATGCCCGCAGCTCACATGCAGACAAGAAAGAGATAAACATGAATGAAGTGACGGCTGAAGAAGGATAGAAGATAAAAGGGACCACCCGTAGCCCAAATATGCTCACTTCCGTACAGAGGTTGTGAAGAATAAGCTCACTATAGACACTGTTTTCCAATCACTTGAATAATGAATTCCTTCTTGTACAATTGTTATAGTTATAATATTATGTACATAAATATTGTTTCTTTCTTTGGATACCTCTCTCACAATTATGCACCTATTAATTTAACTTTTTCTAAGTTTTCGGGTTGTTTAGTTAAATGGTTTTCATGATTAGGATTGGAGAGCTGTATCAGACGCATAATTTGTGGAACATGACACATGGATGAATTAGTTTAACATTATTATGACTGAGTTAGTATTTAAATTAATACTTAAAGTCAAAGGTGTCCTACAATATGAGGTAAATGTAAAGAGAAGTAATCTCTTCCACTCATCGGTATGCTATTTAAGAATTGAGATAGAATTAAGAAACATGTAGCTAGGATTTTTAGTTACCTTTAAAAATGAAATTATACTTTGTTTAATAGTTGAATCTTTTCCTTTAAAAGAGGCATTCAGCATTCATTAAAAAATAGATTTTTTATGAGTTGTTAATGCATTGAACTTCTAATGTTGTATCATAATAAAAAAAATTAGGCGATTGATTTTAAATGGTGAAATATTCAAATTCACATCACAGTCACAATCACGGCCAAAGAGTATAAAGCTAAACTCTTATCTCAAGCAAGAGAAAAAAGAAAAAGAAAAAAAAATCCAAATTATAGAATAGTGAAAGAGATAGCCTAAGAAGAAGATTGGAAGAATATATAAACTAGAAGACATAGAGGTCAGATTACAATATAAGAAAAGAAGGTGTAACACAACACTACAAATTGCATCGAATTTTTCTTCCTTCTTTGTCTTCCAAGTTTCTGTTCTGTCAAACTTGTATATATCTATATCGACAATTGTCCATATAAACCCTAGTCCTATCTCCATGTCTAAGGATCACAAGAACTTGCTGCAAAACAATAATCTGCCAGAGCTAAAACCACCAGAGAGTAGTAATCAAGATGATGATAAGGCGGCGATTGAAGCATCAGAAGACTGTGAAGATTGCAAAACTCCGACTTCTATTGAACACAAGATACCAACCATTCAAAGCTGCCCACCAACACCAAGAAAGAAAGTGCAAGTATCTTTTTACAAGAGAAAAAGGAGTGAGGTTCCGTTCTTTGAAGGATCTGGGCGTGAGGAAGTAGAGTCTTTCCTTAGATCATTAAGCTCTGAGCTATCCAATAAGGTTGAACTTGAATCTCATGCTGTCAAGAAGATAAAGAGATGTTGGAGTTTTTGAAGTATTCTCTAAATATCCTGTAAATTTTCTATCTCTAAGTCTATTTATTCTGTAAATTGATTAGTTTTAAGTAAATATTGTATTAATTGGTGCTGTTTCACTTCAGTTGTGATGATAGTGGATCATGATAATCAGTAACAAAAATGGTATTGTTCTTCTCTAATTAGTTTATTGATTGCAATGCTATTTGTATTTGGGCTTTCCTATCTTATTACATATATAGATTTCAATAATCTCAGAACGTCATATATCCCAATTGATAATTTTCTTGAATGAACATGAACTCTTGTATAAATTTCAGTAGCAGAAGTTGTTGAATCTGTCTTGCTTTACTATGATCTACGAAGTAACAGCACAAATTAGGATATTGTGAAAGAGTATGAAACGAACTAGGGCTATCAACCAAATCAAGCTTACACACAAAAGTAACATTTTTTAGTTGTCGATAAGAGATAGGCGGGACGGTTTGGTGGAATTGCTTTTTAGAGGGATCGGAAGGTCAAATTTTCCACGGCGTTAAGTAATTGTTTGCTTCATAAACAGGATGTGCATATGCGTAAGTGTCACATTGACTATTCTATTACTGCATCAAATTTTACTTAATTATTTACCAGCAGCATTTGACTTTAGGAGCTGACCTATCCTATTGAACCAATACATATTACCTTTTGATCATCTTTTGTAGCATATCAAAAGAATGAATTGATTGATTATCAAAATATTTTGTACTTTGTCACCCTGACCCAGATTCCAAACTTCATTTGATTTATGGGTTATGACTTAATTATCATTTACGTAAAAGTCTTATTTCATTATATTTTTAATTTTTAATTTTTTAGCCTATTAAAATTATGATCAATATTCGAATATGTTAGAGTTGGGATATTCTCCTCATTAGGTATTACGGGATTTATCATGCAAATGATTTATAGATGGTGTGGCCCATGTTTCCCTATGGCACAGAGCTGAGAATATTTAGTGACGTTGATAATACTGTTAGGTTTGGCGACAACTTCAACAATTAAGGTCGCAGGTTGAGGTCACAGCTCGTCAATGTGAGCTAGTCAGTTCAAGGTTCCAGCTCGTCTGGCCGATGCACATGGGGTCCCGCTCTCCGATGAGCAGGACACTAGGTAGGGGCAACATTGTCAGGCCTATAAGCGGTTTGAGTCTATCCCATAAAGAGCCGTTTGGACTTAGGAATAGAGATCTTAATAATATCAGTTTTTTCTCATTAAACTTGGTATATAAATATATATAAATATATTATTCTTTTGTATGAGTGTGATAATAAATGAAACAAATACATTTATTGTAATGAGAAAGGTGAGGAGATATTTTAATAATATTGACTATGTTGAACGTAACCTAAGATGAACTAGGGTAAATCGTGTGTCTGCTTTCTCTTTACAGTTTTACACTATTTTGTGTGTGTGATTGTTTACTTGTTTAGTTTCCAATCCCATTACTCTCTAGATTGTTTCAAATACTACCTTTTAATTCTTGGAGGAGATTTATCTAATTTATGTTGATATGTGAAAAAAGGTGCCAGAAGAAAACGGAAAGGGAGAATTGGGTAGCCATAAAACTCTTATCAGGAGTACTTCATATACTTTCCAATGCAATGGATCCATTTGTGGTGGAGTTAAATAAAATATACCCGTTAATATATTAATTTTAGACAACATCTTAAAAATTAGATGAAAGAGGGGCATTAGATAAATGTTATATGATAAAAATTAAAGCTAATTTCAATCATTTAAAATAAGTATATATTTATCATATAAAATCTAATAAAAAATTGCGGTTGCTTTAATCTATTATAAGGCGTTAATAAATTCAAATTTTTTTTTCCGAAAGAAACTGCCCTGCCCCAAACAGTAAAAGTATCGGTGGTCTCGATTCTCGAAACTCTATCTCCCGAAACCTCTGTCTTTGTTAACTTTTGCGGTTTTACCACGTTGCGGAGCATTCTAAAAGCTTCTTGACATGTGTCGGACACATGTCCTTCTCTCGTAACATCCACATTTACGTAGACAGTTACAAAACAAAAGTAACTACCATGCATGTCACTCTCACCTCCATTATTATTATCCTCATCCACTTTCAAAACACAAGTGCCGAGATGGAATTTCAGAGGATAAAAATGCCTCCAAAGCGTTCAGCCAAGGTGGTGGTAACTAAGAAAGTTGTTCAAGAAACAGTTCAGGTTTCCATACTTAAAGGGAAGAAAAAAACAAAGGAAGACACTCAAGAAGATAATGAAGAACTGCACTTGAAATCCATCACCATTGAAGATAAAGAAGAACAAGGAAAAAGGCACGAGACAGTTCAAATTGCAGTGGAAGAGGAACCGTCTACTTCTTTAGAACCAAAAACCCCACCACCAGCAAAGCCCCAAGAAGAGCCAGAGCGTGAGCCTCCTACTCTTCAGGAACCAGAAGAACCACAACCCCCACCACCAACAAAGCCCCAAGAAGAGCCAGAGCGTGAGCCTCCTACTCCTCTAGAACCAGAAGAACCACAACAAAAACAAAAGAAAGAAGAGAAAGATCATTTAGGCAACGAGAAGTCCAAGGGCAAAAAGCGAAAACGACATAGTGAAGGCAGTGGAGAGGAGTACAAGACTTATGTGTTCAGGGTTCTGAAGCAGGTTCATCCAGGAATGGCCATATCGTCCAAGGCCATGACGGTCATTAACAATTATATGGCCGACATGTTCGAGAGGATTGCAAACGAGGCCGCTACGCTTTCTAAGTATAATGAACGGATGACACTGTCGTCCAGGGAGATTCAGGGAGCTGTGAAGCTGGTTTTGCCTGGAGATCTCGGCAAGCACGCCATGGCTGAAGGGAACAAAGCTGTCACCAACTATATGTCTGGTGACGATAAAGTTTCCAAATCTTGAAGTGATCGTAATTAGGCTTTAGTAATTTGTGTGTTAATACTAGGATTTTACTTTTTTGAGTGTTCTGGCCCTTCGAGTTTTGGTTCTATATGTAAATTAGAAGCCATGAAAGGGCTGTAATTATGTAGACCTGTATGTTGTTGGTGTTGTGTATTCTCTATCTGTTCTAGAAATTCCTTACCGGAAACATTAATTACAACTTGCTATATGACCCATTTGGGTAGTTTTTATTAATGTTAACATGTCGAAAACTATGAAAGATAGTCAGAAAAGTAATTCTTTTAAAAAGTAAAAAGGATCTGAAATTATAAATTAGTGATTAATTCATGAATGGTAAACTATGCAGAAGAAATCAGAAGGGTTACAATCGCAATCCAAAACTAGAGACAGGTTTGTTTCTCCGGCAAATAATTTTTAATAGTCCACTGTTTATCACCAATGGGTAGTTCCTGTCAGCATTGAACAACAGTAAATTATAAGGCAAGTTACAGAAACGTATTCTCAACATCCACTACACAGCAGTCCAAGTTTGCCAAACCAATTGTTATAGGGGTGATCTGTTCCAGCCATCTTACATTTTTTGAAAGAATCAAAACGGACCAATTCTTAAGATTTGGAACCGAAACCTAAAACATAGGTTCTGGTTCCGGTTCCTGGTACCCAGGTTCATTTTAATTATCTCATACTTTTTAAAAAATAACAAATACACCCCAAAACATTACAAATACACTCCTAACAATTTATAAAATTAAAATTCAGTCTCGATTCCTACCCAGGTACCCGGACCTCAGTTCTAGTTTTAATTCCTGGTTCCTGCACTGTAGGAACTGAAACCGGACCTAAGAATTCCCAGTTCCAATTTTCCAGAATCGGAACCAGATCGTAATGGATCGGTTTATTAGGATCCAATTCCAGTTCCTACCCGGAACCGACGGGTGGGTATCTACCGGTTACGATTCTATCCTTTACCCATGCTCACCCCTTGTGAATTAATGTTCATCTATCTAATCGGGAATATATCGCCAAAACAATTTTCATTTTATATTTCCTTCTATTTTTCCAACTATGTGAGCAACAACAAGAGAGCTATGAAAATATGGGAATATTATCAAAATTAATCTACCAAAAATTTTAAAATGACTCCCATGTAATTATAAAGTTCTTATCATCAACTTTAAACATCCAAAAAAAATTCCCAAATCCTGGAAGGGTAAACCATATAAAACTACTTTTTATTATGTAAAGTTAATCAGAAACACACACACTCTTTTTACCTTACAACCGTTTGATCATGGAAATGATGGATAACATTATTATCAGAAAAAGATCGGATAACATTATTATCAGAAAAAGATCTCCAAATAATTAGTAAGTAAAAGATATTTCCACTCAATAATTTATTTAGATCTGAATAATGAATCAACACCATTTGTTTCATCAATCATACACTCAGTAATGACTATATAGATCACAAGGCAACAACCTAAAAGAGAAATTAAAAAGTGAAAAAAAAAAAAAAAAAGTACCTGGAAGACTCCAGCGGCAAAAACTGATGAAGATTCTATACTTTGTTAATCGAACTTCTGTCCTTCATTTTATTCTTGTTAATATCATAAGATAGAATAAGCACGAATCACCTCCACTACAGGTGCCCGACACATTGGACACTTTCCTCCACTTTGGACCAACTCATTTGCACATTTTGAACATGAGCACATGTGTCCACATCTGTTATAAAAATATAAAGAAAAAAAAAATAACGTAAGACAAATGTGTTATGTGACTCTTGCATGCAACAAATCTCAGACAGATTTACTGAAAACTTACCTGTACAGTAAAGAATCAATATTGCTATCACAACATATACAGCAAACTCCCTTCCTCACATAATCCCATTTAGATCCATCTTCTGGCATATCGTCTTCACATATCCCTTCAAACAAAAGCAAACGCACATTAATTGTCAACTTATAAAACAAAAACAAAAAGCAATACCTATACCCATAGGGTTAGATGGAGCCTTCAACATCAAGAAAAACCAATTACTCGGTCATATCAAACAAAGAGAAGATTGACAGATAGGGGTATAATAATTTATCGGTTAGGTTCAATGACACCAAATTTTTTATAAAATTTATTTCACAAGTTTTAGATCATTGAAACAAAACACATAGAATGGTCAAGATTACAAATTCAATTGAGTTTTTTTCCCCAAAGTACACTCATTGTGGATACTAGATTTAATCCCAATAATTTAGTGCTTTGATCTAGTGATCTGGAAACAGTGTAAAAACATTTTGTAACAAATATGTTTTCATAAATCTTTCCCCTCTCTCACTATATATATATATGAAGGTAGAAAAGCTAAAAATTAACTGCAACATGTCAATGGCCATATCCCTGGAGGCATATCTTCTCTCTATGAGAGGGGAATGTAGGGTGAGCAGTAGGTTCAATTCCATGCATATGATTATGAGAGAGAAGAAAAAGCTATGCATCAAAACCAGAGGTGAACCTGGTGAACCAGCTGAACGGTTCAGGGCAGCAGATACTTCTTGCCTTATTGAGCGCTGCAGCTCAAGTTGCATATCCATGCAGGCCTCCAGCATCCTCTGCATGTTATTCATCCTTTGCTGCAGCCTAGCCATGTCAATCCTCAAATCATTAATGATCTCCCACTCCTGCAGCAAATCAGCATAAGGACTCAATACACAAACCAAATGCAGATAAGCATTGACAGGTTAGAGACCAAAATTAAAAACTAAACCATTAAAATTTGTTATATACCATTTGTGTCAAAAAATAGAAGAAAACCAAAAGAGCTGTTTCACTACACAGTTTGACAAGATAAAAATAATAGATTATTATAAAGATTGCCAGCAACAAAGTGCAACTTTCTCCCATCACTGTCTTCATCATTTAGATTGGCCCAGCCAGCTAATATTTAGCTTTACCAGCCTATTTCCGTGAAAGACCACTAAAATTTCATCAACAATGTGCAGTATATAATTGCTATTACATAAATTTTCCACTTTAGTTAATATGTTTTCCAGTAAAATATCAAACTGAAACAAAAGGAAAAGCAGACGTACAATTCCAAAGCGCTGATGCATGTCATGTGGTGGCCAATTATCATGGTGAGACACATGATCCCAGAGTGGCTGAACAGGGGGTATTGGTGGTGAAGGTATAGCTAGTGTCGGAGTCTCAACTGCATCCCCTTGGCCTTCAGTCTGATCCCCACTTTGCTGCTCTAGATCTTGTTCTGCTGATGCAGCAGCAGATGTTTCATTCATCTCCCAGTCAATTGGAGCATGACTTTGCCTTTCCACATATGATTGTATCAGTCGATCAAGACTCTCACGGAAACCACTACGAAGAAGATTAGACACACTCCTCCTACAAAAGGATAAAACCTCCCATTAGAATTCTCCATTTATGTACCAAAAGCAAAAAACACATATTGATAAAACATTACCTGCTTAGGAGTTCCCTGAGTTCCATACTATACACATTATCATCATCAGGTAGATAAAACGTATCAATCCTTCCAACAGGATAAGTTTCCGTATCGGCAGGCCCTTCTAACCAATTCCGCACAGCCTCTTGAAAACCATCTTGTAGATGACCATGTTCTCCATCCTGGGTCCACTGGTTAGTAGCACGTTCCTGCTGATTTTCATTAACATCTTCTCCATCACCATCTCTCCATTCATTAGATTCTAAACTAGCACCTTGCCAGTCTATTTCTGTTTCCTCATTTCCTAAACCTCGTTCCTGCCAATACTCTACAATAGCAGATTCTTGTCCAACTACATCTTCAATCAAATTGCCTTCTAAATTATCTGCAGCATGTGTTGATCCATGAGTTGCACTTTCCTCACTACTTCGCTGAGCAAGTTCATGCGACACTTCACCAGTTTCTCGCAGATGAAAATTCACTGCATCTTCATTCCGCGGAGTTTCTTGAGACAATTCATTTGCATTATTTTCCTGCCAGTCCTCATTCAGGCCCTGTCCAGCGTTATAACTCCTCTCGATTATTTCAGCATTTGTTGACCTTTGCCACTCTCTGACCTCATTTTCAGACACTTGTTCCTGCCACTCTTCTACACGAGCAGTACTTTCTTGCAAACTTATATTTCCAATAATATCACCTCCTGTATCAGTTCTACTATCTGATACACTGTGGATTGCATTTTCATCATTGTTAAGTTCAGGTGGTTCACGAAAATCATCCATAACTTCCTGTGAATTGTTTATTTGGGATTGTTCATTTCTGTTACCATTGGTGTCAGCGTTAGACGAGGTATCAGAATGGCAGCTGCTTAACCTGGAGATAAATCCTTCCCTAATTAAGAAGAAACAGATTAGACATATTACCATCAATAAATAGCTCCATGACAAACTATTGTAAGTACTATTTCATGCAATCACAGAATTAAAAACAAGATCCAATATTGTTATGCAATAATCATGACATAACTAATGTCATAATCCAATAGCACAACACATTAAGTACTTAAACTAACAAAAATAAAAATTATGCAGAGGGGAAACAAATATGAAATTAATTGAATAAATGAAAAATGCACTTGATGCTAATTTTAAAAAATGGATAAGTAAAAATGTCTTCTATTGAAGAGAAATAGAACAATTCAAAATATTCAAGGACAATATGAATTTTTCAAAATTTTGTTCATGCATAAAAGTACACACATTCTTTTCCAACTTGCACAGAAGAGGCGGTTGTGCTTTGGTGATAAATGCAAAGAAGAATAAAGTGCATGTAACATTGTGGAAGTATCCACTACAGTTTATTATAAAGCTACATCAAAACTACACCAAATTTTGAGTTTCACAACTGCAACCATGAAAGTTTCAAAAATCCATTCAGAGAAATGCTCTATAAAGTATAAACAACTGGGGGAAAAAAAAAAAAAAGCGCAGGCACATACACCCTCTTCTATAGTATGTCTTTGCCTCAATAAACCTAACTTCAGACCAGTATCATTAATTCCAGAATAATAAATGGCATACCTTAGACCAGAAACTGTATGTCTTTGCCTCAATAAACCTAACTCCCTAGCCGCTGTGGACCTGGGTCTCTCATCCTCAACCATTCGGTCATTTCGCAAGAACCTACCTCGAAGTAGTGACTGCATATAAATCAATAA